AAACAACCATTTAGGTTTATATACATACATTGGTTCTTGGCTTTCCTAGCAAGTAGTGTTAGTCGTCATCATGGCTCCGGCTAGATTTTGGGTCGTGACAGTAGCTATTGTGCACATGTTCAATATTTGGAGGCATTACTTGTGCGGGGTGTCATGTGAGGTTTGTAAAAATTATCGGAGTCTCCAACACTTGATCAAGGAAAAGGATTTGAATTTGAGGTAGCAAAGTTTAACGACCCGACCAGTCATTTTGAGAATTTGCATTCAGTTCGAAAGTTTGGATTCTTGAGTATCTTCATATGAGGTATTATGACTTGCATGTATGGTCGGTTTTAGTTTTTGGATGGTTCGGGATTGATTTGGCAGAATGATTCTCAATTTGGAAGTTTTAAGTTGGAAGGGTTGACCAAGTTGACTTTTGTATATTTGACCTCGGATCAAAGTTTTTACAGCTCCGCTAGGTCCGAATGGTGATTTAGAACTTAGGCGTCTGCCCGGATTTGCATTTGAATTTTTCTAGAAGGTTTTCTCTCTAATTGGCGAAAGTTGGAAATATGAAGGTTTGTAAAGTTGATAGGTTTGATCGAGAGTTGAATTTGATGTTATCTGGTTCGGATTGTTTTTTCGGGAGTTGGAATAGGTTTGGTATGTCATTTGGAACTTGTGTGCAAAGTTTTGTCAGATTCTAAATTGTCTAGGCTTGAATCGGATGCTTGGTTAGAAGTTTGACGTTTATGAACTTAACATATTGATTTTGATCGACTATTCATTGTTTTGATGTTGTTTTGCATTATTTGATACCTCGGGTAGGTCCGAGTTATGTTTTGGGACTTGTTGGTATGATTGGATGGGGTCCCAAGGGGTTTAGGTGAATTTCGAGGTGGTTTTTGAATCATTTCGGATGGGTTTTGTGTTGCTGGTATCAGGTAAGGTATCGCGATCACGTGCAAGTACTCGCGTTCACGAAGAAGTAGGTAAGCTAGAGAAGTTTTATTCTACGCGTTCGCGGGTGAGGGACCACATCAATGGAGGTTGTTAGATGAGCTAGGTAATTTACTTTTTGCGTTCGCAAGGGCTACGTCGCGTTCGTGGAGGGTTGGCTGATTTATGAATCGCGTTGGCGATACAGGTGACGCGCATATGGAGGTTATTCCTGTGGTAATGGCGTTTTAGTCTTTGTGATTGCGAAGCTAATTCCGCGATCGCAATGGGCATCCCTAGAACATGTCTATAAGTGCTCTACTTCCAAGGTTTTTGTTATTCATTCACATTTTGAGATTGGGAGCTCGAATTTGGGTGATTTTGAGGGGATTTTCACCACTTGGATTGGGGTAAGTATTTTTTACTTGTATTTGATTATTTTACATGATTCCATCTTTGATTTTTGCATTTGAGTGATGAATGTCACACCCCAGCCTTGGGAGGTACGACCGGCACATGACGCCCGAAGGCTCGTGCGAACCGACGTCCGTTCATACCTCTTTTCAATCAGGAAAACCTGGGCTAACAAGGTATCCATGTAGTAATACCGGAATTAAAATGTGTACAACTGATTTATAAAAGAAACATTGACATTAGTACATATACACAACTGTAATAGAGTCATAATCGACCCCTTTACATACTATCAAACTCTAGTCTGCAAGCCTGTAAGAGTGCCAAGAGGATATAAATATTTGCGACTTGGTCAGGAAAGAGTACTTCTATTCACAAAATGTTTAGAACATATGCTTCAATACCTATTGATTCCTGAACAGCTACTCTGAATAGCACACTACTGAGGAGGGACGTCACATGGTCATCTATACCTGTGGGCATGAACATGGCGCCGCAAGAAAGGGCATCAGTACGGAAGATGCACCGAGTATGTAAGACTAAGAAATCATGTAAATCAGAGTCATTAACATGAGAGATATGAGTACGTGTTTTCAACCTGAATACTGTATACGAGCCACCGGGGGCGTAAACTTTGGAAACCATAAACCATGAATCAGAAATGTATGCAAACTTTTGTAAAACCAAGCCACTCATTGGGGCCATGAATTAATTATAATATACATATATAAATATCTTCAACCACTATTTTGGGAGCATTTCATCACTCCATACCCGGCCTTATAGAGGACTCGGTCATACCCGGCTTAGGAGATCTCGGTCGTACCCAGTCTCACAGAACTTGGATAGGCAGTCTTAGAAGGACGCGGTGATCACATCACTCTATACTCGGCCTCATAGAGGACTTGCTCATACCCGACCACACAAGGTCTCGGTAATGTCACATTACACATCATCGTACTCGGCCACACAAGGGTTCGGTAATATCCCATATCATGTCTCGTCGTACCCAACTGATTAGTGATTTCACAATAGGTGTTGTACCCGACCGACTATAGCGCGGCTTGGTAAAGTAAAATAAATACGTATATATAAGTGCAATGCAATGTCAATTTCATGGGATATTAAGTTTAAATTCAGGATGAGTCATACACTTCGACCTCAGGATACCAACTGGGAAAATTATAGACTTTAAAATAAATGCTACCGGCAAGATTGTACAAGAATAGAACAATGGCATTGCGATGGACTTAGAGCAAACAAATCCTTACCATAGAGTAATCCTTTAGAGGGAGAGAGAGAAAGAGACTTATACCAGATCATGCCAAAAAAGGGAGATGCCTTACATAACTTGTTGAAGAACTAGCTTCACTTCTATGATGGTTAATCCTGCATCCAACAAATTTCCAGAATCAATACAGCAAGTTAATAGATATACTAGCGAATACCAAACTCATAGATATACTAGCGAATACCAAACTCCTTCACACTAGATCCTCCTAATCTCACCTTTGACCTTGACTTGGATTTTTTGGGAATTATAAAGGTGGTGTTGAGAGCATTTTGGTAGAACTAATATTGGTGATAACCCCTAAGATAATGATAGAGAAATAGCCTCACTGCCCTTTTTATACTGTTACCCAGCATAGAAAATTCTGCAACCCCACATGCAAAAGGGGTCGCTCCGCCCCAGTCTCTACACCCGGTGGAGCAACTGCCGTAAATCTAAGGCAACGTGTAATCCCTATTTTTTCCCTTCTACCCCCATATGTACCATGGCCGAGTGGCCATGCTAGAAAACCCACTTATCAATCTCCCACTTTATGCGTGGAAAGGTATGCGGTGTGGCATTGTCTCTCTCCTCCCCCCCCCCCCGGAAAAATTGTCCTCGAATGTTAAATTGTAGTTACTTTCTGCACACTTCTTTAGTCATCTTGAGTTATGCCTACAATGATGGTCTCGTTGTTTCCTCCCGTAGCATGGAAAAAATGGGGGTACCTAGATTTCATATCTTCTTCAGCTTGCTAGGTCATTTCTACTACATTGTTATTCCTCCAAAGTAGTTTAACTGAAGCTACTTCTTTGGTTCGTAGCTTGCGCACTTGATGATCTAGGATGGCCACCGGAAATTCTTCCTAAGATAGGTCTTCCGTAACTTGAATATCTTCAATAGGGCTTATACAGGATGGATCATTCAAACACTTACGAAGCATAGACACGTGAAATACTGGATGCACTGCCTCCAATTCTGGGGGCAATTCAAGCTTATACACTACTTGACCGACCTTCTGAATAAATCAATAAGGTCTGATATACCGGGGGATGAGTTTGCCTTTCTTGCCAAATCTCATCAGGCCTTTCATAGGTGACCCCTTCATGACCAGCCAGTCTCTCTCAGCGAACTCTAAATTTTGACGTTGGTTGTTTGAATAAGATTTTTTCTTGCTCTGAGTGGTCAATAATCGACTTCGAATTGTCTTCACCTTTTCTACAGCTTGTTGTACCAACTCAGGACCTAATAACTTTGTTTCACCAATTTCGAACCAGTCGATGTGGGATCTGCACTTTTGTTCGTATAAGGCCTCGTACGGTTCCATATGAATGCTAACATGCTAGTTATTATTGTAAGCAAATTCGATGAAGGGTAGATGATCCTCCCAATTTCCTTTGAAGTCCAAAGCACAGGCTCGTAACATGTTCTCGAGCATTTGAATAGTGCACTCGGCCTGGTCATTTGTTTGTGGATGGAAGGTTGTGCTAAGGTTGATCCTTGTACCTAATCCTTTTTGGAATAACCTTTAGAAGTTAACCGTAAACTGGGCATCTTTGTCCGATGTGATAAAGATCGGAATCCATGAAATCGAAAGTGAGCTGACTTGGTGAGTGGATCCACGATAAACCATATAGAATGAAATCTTATTCGTGTTCGTGGTAATCCGGTAATGAAATTCATGTTGATCAACTCCCATTTACATGTCGGGATCTCCATATTTTGCAGCAACCCTCTGGGTTTCTAGTATTCCAACTTAACTTGCTGGAAATTTGAACACTGAGCGACGTACTTGGCGATGTCCCTTTTCATGTTATTCCACCAATATACATGTCAAAGATCGTGATACATCTCAGTTGTCCCCGGGTAAATAGAATACGGTGACCGGTGAATCTCTGCCTTGATCTACTCTCAGAGTCCCCCGGCATCGGAAACACATAACCGGTCATTGTATCTGAGGACTCCGTCCTCGGATAACACAAACACTCACTTCTTTTGAAGGGGAAAGTTTTCTCTTTTCTTTATTAAGTCTAGATCGTCAAATTGTCGTGCCTTCACTTGCATCACTAACGGGGATTCGGCAATGTTTCAAACTATGGATCCTCCGTTACGAAAGCAACCGTATACCTAAATTGGTCGGCTGGTACAAGTCATTAGTCATCTGCAACTTATTCTTTTTCACATGCTGTATGTTGCCCATAGATTTCTGACTTAAAGCATCAGCCATAACGTTTTCCTTGCCGGGATGATCAAGAAATCACCATCGCAGTCCTTCAGCAAATCGAGCCATCTCCGTTGCCTCAGATTCAATTTCTTTTCATGAATGCATATTGCAAGCTCTTCCGATCTGTGAATATGTCAACATGAACTCCATACAAGTAATGATGCCATATCTTTAGAGCAAAATGACAGTTGCTAGCTCCAGATCATGGGTCAGATATTTTTGCTCATGACTTCTCAGCTGCCTTAAAGCAGATGCAATAAGCTTATCGTGTTGCATATGTACGCCACACAATCCTACTATAGAGGAATCACAATATATGACATAGCCTTCGGGTCCTTCAAGAAGAGTTAAAATTGGTGCCATGGTTAACCTGTTCTTTAACTCTTGGAAGCTCTTCTCACAACCATCGGTCCACTGGAACGTAGCTGACTTCTGTATTAACTTCGTCAGGGGAGTAGCTATTGATGAGAAAATCTCCACAAATCTTTGATAGTAATGGGCTAGGCCCAAGAAACTGCGCACCTCGGTAGGATTTGTGGACCTTGGCCAATTTTTGAGTGCCTCAACCTTTCGACTATCAACTTTGATACCCTCACCTGATACTATATACCAAAGAAAAGCCACGGAGTTTAACTAGAATGCGCACTTGGAAACTTTGGTGTAGAACTTGTGATCTCAAAGTGCATGTAAGACCTTTTGCAAATGCTCTGCGTATTCTACTTCTATCTGAAAATACACCAAACAATTGTCTATGAACATGATCATAAAGGTATCCAAGAATGGACTGAATATGCAATCCATTAGATCCATAAAAGTCGATGGTGCGTTGGTTAGGCCAAAAGACATAACGTGAAACTCGTAACTATCATATCTGGTCCAAAAGGCTATCTTCGGAACATCCTCTCCCTTGATCCTTAACCAATGGTATCCAGTTCTAAGTTTGATCTTCAATAAAGACTTAGCGCCTTGCAATCGATCAAACAAATCATTGATTCTCGGAAGCGGATACTTGTTCATGTTGGTTACCTTATTCAGTTGGCAGTAATCAATACACATCCTTAATGAACCATCTTTTTTTCGAACAAATAGTAGTGGTGCTCCCCATAGGGAACTTCTGTGTCGAATAAAGCACTTATTAAGAAGGTCTTTCAACTTATGTTTTAATTCCTTCAACTCAAAAAAAGCCATCCTATATGGGGGAATTGATATCGGTTGCGTATCGGGTGGAACATTAATGGCAAACTCAATATCCCTCTCGGGGTAGGATGCTCGGGAGCTCATCAACGAACACATCAGGAAATTCACTAACGTCCGAAATCGACTGAAGTGTAGGAGGCTTCACCTCTACATCTTGCACCCACACCAAATGGTAGATACATCCTTTAGTGGTCATCTTTCGATACTTAAGGTAAGAAATAAGCTTCCTTTTGGTGCTGCAACATCACCCTTCCATTCTACAATGGGCTCTCCCAGAAAGTTAAAGTGAACAACTTTCTTCCAGCAATCTAATATAGCATAACACGAAGCCAGTTAATCCATGCCCATGATGACATCAAATTCTTTCATTCTAATTCCTTCAAATAAACCACGGTATGTCAATATAAATATAGAGTAGACACTTCAAATGGTTGTCGTAACATTTTAGGTACTTTACCACATTTACCAGCAACAAATGGAGTGATATATTACAGAGTAGAACCTTGATCTATCAAAGCATATACACTAATGGAAAACATGGATAATATACATGTGACCACGTTCGGTGATGACTCTAGGTTCTGCCAGCCTGATAACACATAAAGGTGGTTCTGTTGTCCCCTTGAGCTAGTCACTCCACCTCTACCTCTACCTATACCTTTACCTCTACCTCTACCTCTACCTTTACCTCTACCTCTACCTCTACCTCTTCCCCACTGGCGATTGCATACCTTGCTCATGAGGTCGTGTTAGTGAGGAGGAAGCTGCTACAGACCCTTTTGGCGGTATCATATTTCCCATATTCCTTACTGGGCAAAAACACATAATGTGACTAGACTGCCCACAAGAATAGCATATGTTAGAACCTTGGCGGCAAATTCCAAAATAATTCCTACCACATTGACCACAATACGGCAGCAGGAGGCATCATCTTGCTAGTGTCTCTACTATATTGTGAGCTCTGTTCCCAGGGATTCTGACCCTGACTTGAGCCAGCGGTCCTATCACAACGCAGACTCTATGACTATATTCTTGCATTAGTCATTGGGTAAGATGGGTGCCAGGAAAACGGAGGTCTAAACTCACCTTATGACTCTCTATAGCCTCTTGCAATTCTCCAAGTTCTGTACATAGGCCTAAATACGAGCAATACTCTTGATCGGATTCAAGGAAGATGTGCTACATTCATTTATCAGGTGTGCTCCCAAACCGCCCATAAACCAATGTACCCAGTCACTTATTTCTACCACAACTGATGGAGCCTATCTAGCCTGGAGTTGAATAGCATGCTATACTCCGTGACACTCATATTCCTTACTCCAACCATAAGAATCTATCTTGTCATGCTCAGCAAGATCTACGGACTCAGTATCAGTGGAATGCATAACCTGTAAAGTTCGCTGCATCTAATCTTGAAAATTTTTGAGATCTTTGTTGGTAATTGTTCCCGTGAACACAGGGGGTTCAAATTTATAAAATCCTGAACTATTGTACTAACTGCTCAGTCTACAGTGGTAGGAGCTTGATGTTGGGCCTAAGAGGCCACCAATCGAGTCAACAATTGCATGCACTTGTCATGTCTACATCTTGGTCAGAAGCAACTGGATGAGGAAAAAGAGGTACATCAGTTTCTCTATGTTGCTCTGAGGGTGGTGGTTTGGTCCCTGAAACCTGAGTTCCAGCCTCATTACGAGTTTCAGGTTGATTCACATTGGCAGGTGGCACTTGGCTGGTACCCTCCCCAGCCTCTTCATTCCTTGCGCAACTGCCCGTCGTCTCGTGGTAGGCATCCCCAGCCCGCTCTATCGTACGATCTAGATCAGGAAAAAGGGGTATTCATCCTAGATATCATGTAGCCTCCTATTTATAAGTATGGTGCACGACATACTCATAAACATAGCCATACCGCAATAGAAGTGGGAGCGCATTAATATGAACTTTGTGGTAGGATTATCATGGACATTGAGGAAATTTGATGTTTTTTGGGTCATTGTGGAAAGATTCACCAAATCTCTGTATTTCATTATGGTGATGTCTCCTTACACTTTAGAAAGGTTGGCTCAAATCTACATCAGAGAGATTTCTTGTTTGTATGGTTTTCCCATTTCTATCATTTTTTATCGTGGCACACAGTTCCCTTCTAACTTTTGGAATGTTGTTAAGAAAGAGTTGGAAATGCAGGTGGAGTTGAGCACTGCATTTTATCAGCTGACGGATGGCCAGTCCGAACAGAATATCCAGATCCTTGAGGATATGTTGAGGGCCTGTGTTATAGATTTTGGAGGTCGGTGGGATCAGTTCCTACAATTGGCAGCGTTTGTCTACAATAGTAGCTACCAGTCTAGCCTTCGTATGGCGACATATGAGGCTTTATATGGTAGGCAGTTCCATTCTCCTATTGGTTGGTTTGAGTATGGTGAGGCTAGGATGTTGGGTACAGATTTGGTTCGTTATTCTTTGGAGAATGTGAAGTTATTCAGGATCGCCTTCGGACAACCAGAGTACACAGAAGATTTATGTGGACAATAAGGTTTGTGATGTGGCTTATATGGAAGTCAAGAAGGTACTTTTGAAAGTTTCTCCTATGAAGGGAACGATGAAATTTGGGAAGAAGGGCAGGTTGAGCCCTAGGTTTATTGGACTGTTTGCGGTGTTACATAGATTTGGGGAGGTTTCTTATAAGACTGCATTGCCTCCCAACCTTACAATGGTACATTTGGTATTTCACGTTTCTATGCTTCGGAAGTATTATGAAGACAAGTCACATGTTCTAGACTTCAGCAAGATGCAGCTTAATGAAATTATGACTTAAGAAGAAGAGTCGCTAACTATTGTAGATAGGCAGGTTAGAAAGTTGAGATCTAAGGATATTTCTTCTGTAAATATTCCTTGGAAAAATCAACTGACCAAGGAGGCTACTTAGGAGTCTGACTCCGATATGAAGAGTAGATATCAAAATCAGTTTGCCAGTTCAGATAAATTTCTATGTCCATTCGAGGACAAGTGTTTCTTTTAAAGGTGGAAACTATAACGATCTAATAGGTCGTTTTGAGTTCTAGCTTTCCATTTTGTGCTTTAAGACTTTGAATAGACTAATTTGATGATTTATGGCTTGTGTGCATGGTCCATTTTGATTTTCGAAAAGTTTAAATGTGTTTTTTTCCAAAGAAAACTTGATTTTGAAACTCTAAAGTTGTTAGAGTTGACCACAGTCAATGTTCTTAGTAAACGACCTCGAATCGGTGTTTTAATGGTTCCGTTAAGTTCATATAATGATTTTAGACTTGTACGCGTATTTGGTGTGGGTCCCGAGTGACCTGAGGCCGTTTCATCACTTATTTGGAAAGTTTGAAAATTGAGTTTATGAACTTTGAAATCTTTGAGTTTGATGGTTGATTCTTGACCCTTGATGTTATTTGATGTTTTGAGATTATGAGCAAGTTTATAAACTTGTGTGGATGTTTAGAATGAGGACCGAGGGGGCTCGACTGAGTTTTATATTGGTTTCAAACTGTTTTTGTAGAGTTTGAGATTGTTGATGCTGCAGTCATCGCATTTGCGATGATCTACTCGCATATGTGAGATTCGCATTTGCGATTGGGGAATGGGAAGGGCCAAATTCTCAATTGGGAAGCTGGTGTTGCATTTGCGACTTCTGAGCCTCTAATGCCACTTCACAATTTCGACCAAGTGGTTCGCAATCTGATCAAGAGTTACCAATTGTGACATTTGCAGCTGGGTAAATGTCACCATTTTTGAGACGTATACTTCACCTATATGTTATCTTGGAGAGAAATGTATTCCCAACTTCAAAGGTTAGTAATTTTAACTTGTTTTTGATAGATTTTCTTCATTATATCTAGATTTTCATAGAGTAGAAATAAGGTTTTGGGTAGAAACTTAGGATTCCGAATTTCTACCAAGTGGGCCCGGGTTGACTTTTTGTTGACTCTTCCAAATGTGTTAAAGATCGAACCTTTTATATATTGGGGCAGTTTCTAAAGCTTATTTTGACATATTTGTGTATTTATTGGCTAGATTCGAGTGGTTTGGAGGCTTGCGCTAAAGGAAATGCGGTATTGGAGGGTTGAATTATAGCGGAAAGAGGTAAGTGTCTTGGTTAACCTTGATTTGAGAAAATTAGGATGTAATTTTTCCTATTTTCTATGTGCTATAGGCGAAAGTGACGAGTGTATACGCGAACGCTATGGGTCAAGCATGTGGGAAGAACTAGATTTATTTATGTCTTGTTGTTTTATGTATTATGTCTTCCATGCTCTAAATAGATTGTGAAATTCTTTGATTGTTCTTATTCATTTTAATGGCTATGTTGAGCTTGTTGAGATATTGGGCATTAAGACTGTTAAAACGTTGATATGTCTATTGATGTAAAAGTGACGGTTATCTTCTATATGGCGCACTATGTTCAATCACTCTTCTTGATGTTGCTAGTACTTCCCACCTTGCTTGGTAGTGTTTATATGTTTATGCTTGGTGAGGAAGAGTGAATTGCACGAAGGGTGTTTTCATGCTTGTGATAAAGAGTGATAACACACGAAGGGTGTTTCTGTGTTTCTTTATATTATTACTATTATGCACGAAGGGTGTTTTCGTGCTTGTGAGGAAGAGAATATTTACGAAAGGTGTTTCCGTGCTTGTGAGGATGAGAGTAAAAGTACGAAGGGTAATGTCGTGCAAGTTGATTAACATTTCTTATTCCTTTCTTTTACTATACGGATTGAGGACTTGACCATGTTGTTTCATGGTTGCCTTGTCATTTTCTTGGACTAGAGTTGTTGTAAAAGGCTTGTTGGGTGTTATTTGTGAAAGAAGAATCAGTGTTTTCCTTAATTGTTTCTTTCGTTATTCCTTTTCTTTCGTTATTCCTAGATATCTCTCTCTACTAGTTCCCACCGGACTATTTTGTTATCTTACTTGCTACTGTCTCTTGTTATCTTATTTGCTAAATCCCTCGTTATTTTCTCGTTATATAAATGCATGGTTTTATATGTAAGTGTATTGTATTAGCCTCGTCACTACCACGTCGTGGTTAGGCGTGACACTTAGGAAGTACATTGGGTCGGTTGTACTCATACTACACTTTTGCACTTCTTGTGCAGATTTTGACATCGGACCTAGTGGTACTCAGAGGGTGGATTAGTTTGCTTTGTTGAGGAGACTCGAGGTAGTGTTGCACTCTCATTCGCAAGCCTTGAAGTCACCTTTCTTTTAGTTCTGCTACTATTTATTTGCTTCAATAAGTGTACTTATTATTTCGGACATTGTATTGAGTAATTTTGTGGAAGCTCATGTACTCAGTGACACCAATTCTAGGAGGTTTTAGTCGGATGGTGGGTTATAGTCTTGTTATATATTTCTTAACTTCTCCCCTTTATTATGTTATCATGTTATCATGCTGCTTTATTCTTAGTTTCTTCCTTTATTTGTGAAAGAGATGTTAGGCGCCATCACAACCCCTTGGTTGGAAATTTGTATCGTGACAACCTATGAACTCTCCAATCCTTCAAATTGCCAACTTTTGACAAATAGAACCAAAAACTTCTAGGAAACCTCAAATCAAAATCTGAATATACGCCCAAGTCAAAATTCTCCATATGAACCTTCTGGAACCATCAAATCACCAATCTGAGGTCGTTTACTTAAAATCCAAGTCAACTCTAGTAATTGAAGCTTCCAAAATGAGACTAAGTGATCCAAATAACTCTCAAACCTTCCCGAAACCAGACCAACTATCCTAGTATGTCACAGAAAGAACAAACAAACAAATGGAAAGCATCAAA